ATCCATCCACCTCCCTACCTACCTCCCTATCTATCTATCTATCTATCTATCTATCTATCTATCTACCTACCTATCTACCTACCAATATCTACCCATCAATCCATCCACCTCCCTACCTCCCTATCTACCAATATCTATCTATCTATCTATCTATCTATCTATCTATCTATCTATCTATCTATCTATCTATCTATCTATTATCTATCTACCTACCTACCTATCTACCAATATCTATCTATCTATCTATCTATCTGTCTATCTATCTATCTATCTATCTATCTATCTATCTATCTATCTATCTATCTATCTATCCATCCATCCATCCATCCATCCATCCATCTATCTATCTATCTATCTATCTATCTATCTATCTATCTATTATCTATCTACCTACCTACCTATCAATATCTGCCCATCAATCCATCCACCTCCCTACCTACCTCCCTATCTACCAATATCTATCTATCTATCTATCTAATCTCTCTCTCTCTCTCTCTCTCTCTCTCTCTCTCTCATTGATTCAACTTATATGGCCACTCATCTCACTTGAATGAGACTCTATGAGTGGTGTACATAGTTAAACACAACCAACAATTACAACCTGCCATCCTTAAAACCAATTACAAATTATTAAAACTTCACGTGATGCCACTGGAACGAGCTATTGGAATCTCACTCCGCCCATTTATGAGATGGCAGTGTGGTCCTTCTCCCCCTGTAAGACCAACATTGAAACACCTCTCTCTTTCTTTGCTACTCTTCTAAAGTTCTTTGTCTTTCTCTCGCAGCTCCGGAAATGGCTCAGCCAACCAAACTATGGTGTGAATGCAGCTGCTAATGCTTCAACTGAGGTGGTGAAGCCCGTTCCTGACGGAACCAACCCTCCTGAATTTTTTGGGGGGGAGAAATAGAAGAAAAGGTGCCTCTCTTACCTACCACTGCGTAACCCCCTGGCACAATGCGGTAGATGTTGCTGTCAGTGTGAATGCCATCGGGGAACCAAGCCGCCATGCTCTCGCCCATCAGCCTCCCAAAAGCTGCCCCTGTTGCAAAGAAAGGAAAAATCAGAAGGGTGAGAAAGGAGAAGACAGGCAGACGAGGGACTTTGTCTGGTCTCAGGAGGAAGGAGAAACCGATTTTCTGGGTCTGGGCTGGGGGAAACCCATTGGCTGCCTTCCCAGAGGACAAAAAAAGTCCCCTTAAACACAGGTGATCCTCAACTTACAACAGTTCATTTAGTCGCCGTTCAAAGTTACAACGCGCAGGGGTGGGCTGCTGGGGGTTCAGGAGAGCCCCCACCTAAGAATCTGTGCCGTTCAGAAAGTCCCCAATCCCACTCCTGCCCCTCCCCCCCCCCCACCGCACCCTGCCCCTCCCCTCCCAGGAGTCCCCACACGGCCCGTTTTGGATGCAGGTAAGTTGCAGGGCGCGCATGGAGGCTCGAGGAGGGCAAAAAAAACGGGCTGTCAGGATTCCGGCAGTTACCTCCCCGTTTCAATCATGAGTCTCGAGCCAAACTTCCAAAACCTCAAAAAAGGATTTATTGGGAGTTCACATGTCCGGCACTGCCTGGGTGTAGCTGACTCTGAGACACATCATTCATGACCCTGGTTTTCCCCCCAACCCCTGGGTGTATCGTAATTCATATTCTCCAATGGGACACCTCCGTAGCTAAGAGTCATCAATCATGCTCCCTCCAGTGAGATATTGGCGTGGGAGAAACTTTCAGTCACCTAGTTAACTATCTTTGACAAACTATTTATGGAATGCACTTTCGGTTTGCAAGATGCTGCACTGCTCCCCCGTCTTGTTTTCTATTAGCAACTCTAAAAAGACCATAGACATATTTTATGAGTTGACATGGGCTTCCTGGAAGTTCAGGAAGGCTGGAAATGGGCCCGTTTCTGGCTTCCAGAGAGCCTCCGGAGTCTGGGGAGGACCAAAACACCCCCCCACACACACACTGCAGACCGACTAGGCCACACCCACCATGGCCACGCCCACCCAGCCACCGGGCAGAGAACCCTTTGCTAACATTTTTGAAGCCCAGCCCTGTACAACAGCACTTGAAAAAAAGGGGCTTATGACAGTTTTTCCGACGGATAACCGTTGCAGCATCCCTGTGATTACACAATCAAAATTAAGGTATTTTGGAAACTGACTCGTATTTATGACGGGTTGCAGTATCCTGGGGTCGTGGGATCCCCTTTTGTGACCTTCTGACAAGCCAAGTCAACGGGAAAGCCAGATTCACTTAAGAACTACGTTACTGATTTAAGAACGGCAGGATTTCACTTAACAACTGTCAAAAGAAAAAGCCGTAAAAATGGGGCATAACTCACGTAACCCATCTCTCTCTTTAGCTTAGCAAACTAAAACTTTGGGCTCAGTTGCGGTCGTAAGATGAGGACTAGCTGTAAAACCCCTTGCAATAACAGAATAACAGAGTGGTCACTGTTGCAGGTGCTCAGCTGGTAACGCGACTGTTAGGTTAATCTGGCTTCCACGTCGCTTTGGCTGGTCCAGAAGGTCGCAAAAGGGGATCGCGTGACCCCCGGAACAGTGCAACCGTCATAAATATGAGTCGGTGGCTAAGCGTCTGAATTTTGACCATGTGACCCTGGGGATGCTGCAGTGGTGATAAGTATGAAAAAAGGTCACAAGTCACTTTTTTCAGTGCTGTTGCAACTTCTGAAGGACTGGAATTGGGTATGTCTGGTTTGATGAAAAGAAGGACTAGGATAGCAATCTTCCAATATCTCAGGGGCTGCCCCAAAGAAGAGGGAGTCAAGCTATTCTCCAAAGCACCTGAAGGCTGAGCAAGAAGCAATGGATGGAAACTAATGAAGGAGAGAAGCAACCTAGAACTAAGAAGAAATTTCCTGACAGCTGGAAGAATTAATCAGTGGAACTGCTTGCCTCCAAAATAATTGACTGGACAGCCACTTGTTTGTATAGGGTTTTTTCCTGCCTCAACAGGGGGTTGGACTAAAAGACCTCCAAGGTCCTTCCAACATTTCTCTTATATTTCTGTTTCTATCCTATCCTATTCTATTCCATTCTACTATACTTGTATTCTATTTCTACTTTCTCTTCTCTTCTCTTCTCTTCTCTTCTCTTCTCTTCTCTTCTCTTCCCCTTCCCTTCCCTTCTCTTTCCCTTCTCTTTCTCTTTCCTTCCCCTTCCCCTTTCCATTCCATTCCATTCCATTCCATTCCATTCCCTTCCCTTCCATTCTCCTCTCCTCTCCTCTCCTCTCCTCTCCTCTCCTCTATTCTATTTCCTGTTCTATTCCTAACCTAACCTATCCTATCCCAATCCACTCCACTCCACTCCACTCTACTCAGGACTATCTGTATTTGCCTGGAAAAGGTAGGGCTCAAATACAGCGCGATATCAAGAAAGGATGCAGCTCCAAAGTGGGTGGCAAAGAAAGGGGCACAGAGGCTGAACTTACCAATGACAAAGACGGGCATGAACGCCCCGCAAGGCACAGGGATGGTGGTCGCCAAAGCCGACATCCAGAACTGAAGGAAGACAAAAGGACAAACGTTGATTAGCAGGAGACAGTGATTCTCTGTACTGGCTTCCCTGGTTTGGGTCAGGGGGTTTAGCCTACAGTTGCTATAGCCTCCAGCCAGCAGGCCTATTGGTGGCATTGATAGTCCTTGACTTATGACCATTCATCCGGTGATTGCTTGACTTCCGACTTGTCTTTGCACTTAAGAATAGAATAGAATTCTTTTATTGGCCAAGTGTGATTGGACACACAAGGAATTTGCCTTTGGTGCAAATGCTCTCAGTGTACATAAAAAGAAGAAGAAAAAATACATTTTTGTCAAGAATCATAAGATACAACACTTAATGATAGCCATAGGGTACTAAATAAGCAATAAAATCATACTAGGAAACAAATAAAACAATATAAATCGTAGAGATATAAGCAACAAGGATATAGTCATAAATGGGAGGAGATAGGTAATAGGAAAGATGAGAAGAAGAATAGTGATACAGTCTTAGTAAATAGTTTGACACGAGTTGCTGGAATTAGTTGTTTAGCAGAATGATCAGAGGGGGGATTCAGCCAGTTCTGACCAGTTCTGGAGAAGCGGTAGCGGAAATTTTGAGTAGTTTGGAGAACCGGCAAATACCGCCTCTGACTGGCCCCGCCCCCATCTATTCTCTGCCTCCCAAGTCTCAGCTGATTGGCTGGGTCTTCTTTGGTTGCCCTGCACAGGAGAACGGAGCTGGAAAGCAGGTTAGTGGGGTGGGGAGGGAATGGGGATTTTGCAGTAACCTTCCCCTGCCATGCCCACCTTGTCATGCTCACCAAGCCACACCCTCAGAACCAGTAGTAAAACATTTTTAATCCCACCACTGAGATTGATGACATTCAGGGAAAAACTGTCCTTGTGTCTAGTTGTTCTGGTGTGCAGTGCTTTATAGCGTCGTTTTGAGGGTAGGAGTTGAAACAGTTTACGTCTGGGATGTGAGGGGTCTGTAAATATTTTCACAGCCCTCTTTTTGACTTGTGCAGTATACAGGCCCTCGATTGAAGGCAGGTTGGTAACAATTGTTTTTTCTGCAGTCCTAATTACTCTCTGAAGTCTGTGTCTGTTTCGTTGGGTTGCAGAACCAAACCAAACAGTTGTAGAGGTGCAATGACAGACTCAGTCATTCCTCTGTAGAACTGGATCAGCAGCTCCTTGGGCAGTTTGAGCTTTCTGAGTTGGCGCAGAAAGAACATTCTTTGTTGGGCTTTTTTTGATGACGGTTTTGATGTTAGGCGTCCATTTTAGGTCTTGAGACATGATAGGAATGATAATGAAAGGTCCGTCAATGAATGAAATGACTGCTGCAGGGACCCCACCGGATCACGATGGAGGTGCTTAGCCATCAGCTCACAGTTATGACGGTCACGGAATTGTGGGCCGCATGATCGCCCCTTGCGATCTTCCCAGCGGACAGTGAAGAATAGAGTCTCCCTTTGAGGGAGATGGGCAGTACAGCAACGTGAAAAATAAATAGAACAAAAAAAAAATTTGGAATAAATAGAAATTTAAAAAACGGAGGGCCGGCAGAGAAGATTGCGAGCTGTGGTCACATGAGATTTCCCTTACACATTGTGGCAAAAAAGTTTGTAAAACTGGGTGCGGTCATGTGATGCCTTGCTTCACAACCACACTGATTTAATGATGTTCCATTGCGGTCATAAATCAAGGATTACTTGTATTGGCTTCAAGACTGCGGCTAGTTGTTGTGGTTCGCCAGCAGCTGGTGCAGACGGCAGCGGAGTTGGACAATGGAGAAGGAAGGGGACCAGGCAGGGAGTCTGGGGAAGACTTGGATGCGGGTCCCACATCCGATGCAGAGATGGGGCCAGGACCACCTGGGAGTGGGGTGCTGTCTCCGGAAACTCTGGAGTCTGGCAGTAGCGAGGCAGAGGAACCAGGGGAGCCTGTTCCCAATGCGTGTGTGTGCAGAGCTGCCATAAGGCGAGAGCAGCTGAAGCAGAAGGGGCGACTCGGGAGTGAGGCTGGGAGGTGATTGCCCCGCCCATAAGGGATAAAAGTCAGACCTCAATGACGAACGCTTTGCAGGAAGCAAAGTAGTGCAATAATTTCCGAGTCCTTGAAGCTCTATGAACTCTGGTTGGTTTTTTGTTTTTTTTCTGGGACTTTGTTTGGTTTGTGTTATAATTAATTGGACTTCTGTTTTTTTGGCAGCATTCTACAGCACTGAAAGGCGTGCTCTTATCTGGGGGAACTCTTTATAATTTGTTCTGGCCGGGAATGAAAGTAATTCCCAGTGTTGCATTAAAATAGGTTTTGCTTTTAAAATAAGTTTGTGTTTCATTAAGTTTGACGAAGCCTGGGTCAGACCACTGGTGCAGATTATGTCTCTGAAAGGCACTGGGGTTCCAGAAAGCTAATTTATGGCATCTCTTCCTCCGAATCAAAAGGGAGATAGGAGACTTATCTGTACAGCTCCATCCTCGACTTACGACCACAATTGAGCCCAACATTTATGTTGTTAAGCAAGACAGCTGCTAAGTGAGTTTTGCCTCATTTTACCACCTTTCTTGCGAATCATTGCCATTGTTAACTTTTAGTTATGCGGTTGTTAAGTGAATCTGGCTTCCCCATTGGGTTTGCTTGTCAGAAGGGGATCACATGACCCTGGAATGCTGCAACCGTCATAAATAGGAACCAGTTGCCAAATGTCTGAATTTTGGTCATGTTACCATGGGGATGCTGCAATGGTCATAAGTATGAAAAATGGTCATAAGTCACTCGTTTTGGCCCTGTAGTAATTTTGATCGGTCACTAAACGAATGGTTGTAAGTTAAGGAATACCTGAACTTTGGTTTTTGTTTTTTAAAAAAGGGGGTTTGGAACAAGAGAAAAAAATGGGAAGCCAGGATAGAAAAGGACTTGAACTGGGGATCGAAAAAGCAACTAGTTGGGTCATTGGCAGCTTGAAAGGAACTGAACTAATTTAGAATTTTTCTTGTTGTCCACTGAACTACTGGAACTAGTATTTACTGAATTATGATTAGCAAACATTATCAAATAACCAAAGCAACATACATTTTAATGACTTTATTCGTTACCATTTATGTCACTTTGGTTATTTGATAATTATATAAAGATATAAATATGCAAAAAATAGACTAAGATTTAAAATGTACATGTGGTCTAGAGGAGGAGCTCTCGCCTCACAATCAGGAGGCTGCGAGTTTGATCCTAGGTCAGTGGTGGCTAACCATGTTGGGTTCCTGTGCCAAAAATTGTGCGAACTTGCATGCCAGCAACCAGAAGGCAATGTGCGCGCGGCCCCACGCCCCCTGAGCATGCACACGCAACCCCCTCCAACGCCGCCCCCTTCCCTGCACTGCGCCTCCCAGCCAATTTTCGGCCTGTTTAAGGCCTTTTTCGGCCTCCCAGAGGCTTAAGGCTTCTGCAGACTTTGTAGGCCAAAAAATGGACCCGTTTCGTCACTTCCAGTATTTCTGGAAATACAGGAAGTGATGAAATGGGCCTATTTTTTGGCCTGCAAAGGCTTTCCTCAAGCCTCTGGGAGGCCAAAAAAGGCCTCAAACAGGCCAAAAATCAGCTGTGAGGCGTGCACATGTGCAGTGAGGTAAGTTTGCCTGTGTCACGCGTGCCATAGGTTTGCCATCACGGTCTTAGGTGGAGGCTAATATTTGGAATAGATTCTCCTGCTTGAGCAGTGGGTTGGACTATATGACCTCCAAGGTCCCTTCCAACTCTGTTATTCTATGACCTATGTAGAAATTTATTGTATATGTGAGGCATTCTACTGTCATATTATAATCTATTGCAACTGAGATAAACTATAAAATCCATCCAAATTTAATAAAGATTTCTGTCTCCGACTTCTCATTATTTTAACTTTTTCATCATTTATCTTAATGTGGCAATTGAAGTGGCCTTGTTAATCCACATCTCATGATCTAGGATTAACAGAAGAGCTCTTGACTTTACTCCTCCCTTCTGTTTGTCTTCCAACGATCCAATCCGATGGAGATATTAATTTTCATTTATCCGTCTCCCTCCTTCCCTCCCTCCAGATGATTTCCTGCCTCCTTCGGCAATCATTTTTTTTTTAAACAAATTTTATTAATTTTTAAACACATACAAAACATACAAGATAAACATAAAACCTTTTTTCTAAAAATTTCTAAAAATTATTTGAAAGTTTTACATTAACACATTTCCTTACAATCACATATTTTCCCTTTCTAACTTGCTTTATTTTCTTCTATCTTTCTCTCCATTGTCCTTTTCTAACCTTTCTCCAAGGTTTTATTAGCTCATTCAAACATAAACACATAAGAACACAAAACATATAAACATTAAAAAAAACATCTTTTCTGAAAGTTGCTTAATCCCGGGTCAAAACTCTTTGTACAGACACCAACTCAAATTCATATTCATTTTATATGCCATTCCATATCTTATTACCATTTTCAATTTTTTTTTATAGCTTCTTCTCTCTCTTAAATTCTCTTAATTTTATTTTATTTATCTCATCTCAATTCAAATCATAATATTTATTATTCTTTGTCTGTTTATTTCCAGCTATCGATTTATCTTTCTTCTTTAAAAAAAAAGCTTCTCCTGTACACTAATTGGAGTATGACGCCTTTACCTCTTTCCCCTACATTTATAATACTTAATATAAAATACCTAACTTACATTGGGATTCTGTTTGGTACATTCTAAAATTATACAATATTATCAATACTAATACTAATCTATTCATTAATATTCATATTCTTTTATATCATAAACACTTAGCACATTACTTTTCAATTAATTAACATACTTTTGTGGGAGCACCTACTTTCCATAATTATTCCCCCCCCACATCACATATTTTAAATCATTATTTCATTAAGGTATTCCTGCTTCTCCTACTTCAAATCTCTCCTTTCAAAAAAAAAAATTTCCACTGAAATAACACAATCTAATTAATATTGACATTCATTTGTATCTTTCTCTCCAACTCCTTTATATCTTAACCATTTTATCCATTTCAATTAAATAACATGCCTTTTGGGAATACTTATATTTTCCACAATCATTTTATGCCACTTCAATCATTACAATTTCTTATTCTAGTTTTTTTTCTTTTCTCTCACTGATATGCTACTCAGGGGTAGGCTTCAAAATTTTTAACAAGAGCTTCTGCCCGGTTGCTGAGTGGGCGTGGCCACAGTGGGCGTGGCCTAGTCGGCCTCCTGCACCATGGGGGGGGGGGGGGGAGTGGCATTTTCATCCTCCCCGGGCTCCGGAGGCTTTCCTCGAGTCTCCGGAAGGGCAAAAATATAACTGTCTGTTTTGGTTCTATAACCCAACAGGACAGACCCAGACTCCGGGGAGTAATTAGGACTGCAGAAAAAACAATCACTACCAACCTGCCTTCCATCGAGGACCTGTATTCTGTACGAGTCAAAAAGAGAGCTGTGAAAATATTTACAGACCCCTCGCATCCTGGACATAAATTGTTTCAACTCCTACCCTCAAAACGAGGCTATAGAGCACTGCACACCAGAACAACTAGACACAAGGACAGTTTTTTCCCCGAACGCCATCCCTCTGCTAAACAAATAATTCCCTCAACATTGTCCAAGTCTGCACTATTATTACTATTAATCTTCTCATCACTCCTTATCACCCATCCCCTCCCACTTGTGACTGTCTGACTGTAACTTTGTCGCTTGTATCCTTACGATTTATATTGACTGTTTCCTAGTATGATTTGATTGCTTATTGTACCCTATGACTATCATTAAGTGTTGTACCTGATGATTCTTGACTCTTGACGAATGTATCTTTTCTTTTATGTACACTGAGAGCATCTGCACCAAAGACAAATTCCTTGTGTGTCCAATCACACTTGGCCAATAAAAGAATTCTATTCTATTCTATTCTAAAATGGCCACCCCGGGCTCCGGCGGCTCTCTGGAGGCTGGAAACTTCTGGAGCCTCTGGGTGGCCTATTCTTTGTCCTCCCTGAACCTCCACGCGGGCCCTACACTTACCTGGCATCCAAAACGGGCTGTGTGGAGACTCCTGGGAGGGATGGGGCAGGGTAGGTGGGGCCAGCTAGGGGTTGGATTTGCCGGTTTGCCAAAAATTATAACATTATACCGGTTCGCCTGATGCTACTCATAGGACTACTTTTTCTGTCTCCCACTCCACCCCCCCCCAAAAAAATCTCTAGATCTATAAAGTTAGTCTTATGTTGAAAAGGCAAAACCAACTCCCCTTCCCTTTGACAATTACCTGCCAACCACAGATAGTCCTTCACTTACGACCACAGTTGGGCCCCGAATTTCTGTGGCTACGCGAGACATTTTGCCCCCATTTTGCGACAGTGGTTAAGTGAATCGCTGCAGTTGATAAGTTAGCAACACCGTCGTTAAGTGAACCTGGCTTCCCCAATGACTTTGCTTGTCAGAAGGTCGCAAAAGGCAATCACATGACCCTGGGAATATGAATCAGTTGACAAGCATTTGAATTGTGATCATGTGACCAATGGGATACTGCAACGGTTGTGTGAAAAACACTGGTAGGTCACTTTTTTTAATGTCGTAATTTTGAAAATCACTAAACAAATGGTCGTAAGTTGAGGACTAGCTGTATATCTCTGTGTTCTTCCTCCATTGCTTTGGAAGTCTCTTCCCTGAACCTCTGAAATAGTATAGATCTTGGCTTAATTCCTCTGTTGGAAAACTAGATTTGTGTGTCTATTAGACTGGGTCTTATTTTCTTTTGGAACCCAAAATAAGCAGTAGGGCTTATGTTTGAGGGGGTGTCTTATTTTTTTCCCACGTATGGGAGGCCCACTTCTGCTTGCTCATGGCAGGGCAGGAGGCTGCGCGGCACACCAGTGCCACCACCGCGAGGCGAGGGATGGAGCCACATGCCCCACACTGACTTACCTCAGGGCCCCCGCAGCCAAACCATCCATGCCCTGACACATGTCTCGCCTTGCAACTGCGGCAACACACCACTCGTCCTCCTGCTCTGTTGTGGCAACACGGCACTTGTCCTCCTGTTCTATTGCGGGCACAAGCAAGCAGAAGAAGTGGGCTGGCGGCTACGTGGGCTTCTGCTACACATGCCTGCTGGTAGTGCCACCGCGAGGTAGGGGTGAGGGCGTGGATGGCCTGGCTGCGGGGGCCCTGAGGTAAGCTGGTATGGGGCGTGCCGGGTAGCTCGGCATCGCGAGCAACTGGATGGAATGGGCAGCTGGCTGGCTGCGCAGACTCTTAAGTAGGGCTTATTTTTTGGGGTGGGTAGGGCTTATATTAGGTATGTGCATAAAACATGCTATGTCTTATTTTGGGGATAGGTCTTATTTTCAGGGAAAACAGGTTATTTCTGCATTTCAATGACAGGGCGCAGCATTTCCAGGATTTAAGTTATTTCAAGCTACGCGAGAAAGGGTCACACGTTTCAATGTTCACTCATGACGAAAGTTTTCCCAGCCCTTAGGAAACTACCTGATCAGGAAGAAAAGCCTAATCTAATTTCCCCACATTACAGGGTTTGTCAGCTTCCTTCATCTGGTTACTGAATTAGCCCATTTCGAGGGTTGCACAATGCATTAGACCATATTCTCATCAAGCAAATTGGGTTTGCAATAACAAGCTGTCATAAAAGGCTAATAAAGGTTCATTGTCAACCAACGTAGCATGATGTAGCATTTCTTTGACAGACCTTTGGCTTAAACTTGTTATGTGAATATTCTCTCTTTATGGAGAGAAAAGCCAGGATTGCAGTTTTCTTCTTAGTACCTCCTCCCACATGCTTGATATCTTCTCATTTATCAGAACTCATGATTGTGTTGTTCCCATCCTTTTATTCATCTTTCCCAACACGGGAGAAAGTGGTTTGAGGCACCTTCTATTCCAGGGAAGACAGTTGCACTCCTTGTTCAACACTAACACCCAGATAAGCAGAGATTACCATCACAATCAATGCTAAGCAATGATCAATCAATAAACAATATCTCAATCATAGAACCACCAACTCAGAAAAACAACCAAATAGTAAACAACAATGCAGTCAAGGAACCATGAAGAAGAAAACAACACTCCCACCAACACTGGGAGGGAAACTATATATAAACAAACAACAAACTCCTCCCTTCTTGCACTGATGACGTTACCTAGTTGGGTAATGAAACGTCTGCTAGAAAACAATCAAGCTCAGGGAGCATCAAGAATTCCACAATACCAACAGGTTTTGGAAATTAGATGTTCCTATTCCCAGATGCCACTGGGGGTGACATCCCAGAGAGAGACAGGGTTATTGTTCTGACCTAGGCTTCCCCAAAAAGCACTAAGCAGACTCTTTGTCCCGGCAAAACCTCTTTTATTAAACGAAGGTGAATTTCTTGCGTTCACCTTCAGCCAAAGGCCTGGCAAACAGTCTTTCAAGAGTCTAATTAGGAGCACAGACCTTATCTAGTTTGGAGAGTTGCCAAGTAAATATGTCCAAACACAGTGCTGACAAGGAAGGACTCAGCAGTCTCTGAGATGCACAGACAGATCTTCACATTGCTGCAACGAACGAATTGTTTCCTGCAAACGCCCCCTCCCCTTTGCCTCCTCTTTTAATCCTTATGGGAGGGTCCATAGGGATCCACCTGTGGCTTCACTCCCACGTCGACCCTTAGTTTGTAAATGTTCTTTTCTTTTGGCAGCTCTGCGCATGCGCAGGCTGGGAACGGGCTCCAGCTGCTCCTTTGCCTCACTGCTGTCCAACTCCAAAGGCAGCTAATAACTGCCAGACTGCCCTGGCCCCGTTTCTGCCTCTGACGCAGAGCCCTCGCCTGAGCCTCCCTCAGCCTCCAGGTTCCTCCCCAACCTCCTCACTGTCCGACTCTGCTGCCAGCTCTGCTAGTTGCCGGTGGGCCACAACAGTTATATCCAGAGTTGTCACAAACTCACAACACACCTTCATCAGGATGAAAACCACCAAGGTGACAAAGACGTTGGAGCGAGGGTGTTTCCAGGCTTCCGAAACGCCACCAAATTCAAATTCTTCCGCCAAGCCCTGCTTGGCCCATGTGCGGTTATCAAACAAGGTAACCAGGGTTTCCTTCTGGGTGAGCTGAAAGGGAAAAGGGAGAAGGTTAGAGACACAATAAGTGCCAAAAGGTTTGTGTTGATTTGTCCTAGTCCCGTGAGATGGCACGCAGAGCCATTTGTGCCAGCACATGAGCTGCAGGCAAACTTACCTCACTGCGCATGTGTGCGCCTCACAGCTGATTTTTGGCCAATTTGAGGCCTTTTTCAGCCTCCCAAAGGCTTGAGGAAGGCTTCTGCAGGCTTCTGCAACCTTTATAGGCCGAAAACTAACCCCATTTGTCACTACCGGTATTTTTGGAAAAACAGGAAGTGACGAAACAGGGCTAGTTTTCGGCCTACAAAGCTTGCAGAAGCCTGCAGAAGCCTTCCTCAAGCTTTTGGAAGGCCGAAAAAGGCCTCAAACCGGCCAAAAATCAGCTGTGAAGCGCAGGGCAGGTAAGGGGGGTGGGTGGGGTGATTGCACACTCATGTATAGGGGCGTGGGGAGCATTGCCTTCTGGGTGCTGGCACGCGAGTGCGAGCGTGCAAGCGCGCACACAATTTTTGGCACAGGAGCCCAAAAAAGGTTAGCCACCACTGTCCTAGGCTTTACAGTTCAACCAGCCAGAACTTTGGATTCAATTTCCAGAAGATTAAACAGTGGAATGACTTGGCTCCAGAAGCTGTGGGTGGCTCCAACATTAGAGGTTTTTAAGAAGAGATTAGACAATCATTTGTCTGAAAGGGTATTGGGCTTCCTGCCTGAGTAGGGGGCTAGATTAGAAGACCTCCAAGGGTCCTTCCAACTCTGTGACAGGTAGTCCTCGACTTTCGACACTTCATTTAGTGATCGTTCAAAGTTACAATGGCACTGAAAAAAGGGACATGACCAGTTTTTCATACTGATGACTGTTGCAGCATCCCCATGGTCACATGATCCAAATTCGGACTCTTGGTGTGATGACGAGGCACAAAAGCAACGAAGTCACAAAAATAAGTAAAATCCCTTTAATACCTCCAACTTGGCCCCCAATGTCCTGTTATCATCGGCTGGAGAAAAAAAAAACTCTCCCCAAAACAGGGAGAAATTCTGTCCAAACTCAAAGTACATATAAATTATAAATAAAAACCAACACAAACCACACTGCAGCAATTAATGAGACAAGGCAGGATAAGCGATTTAAGACATCAAAAGATAATGAAACACACATACTTGGGAGGACGTCAGAACTCAGATAAGGCTTGACAAACCAGAATAATTTCATGCTTTGCTTCCAGCAACTTTGCAATGCGCAGTTTGCCCTTTTAAACAGTCTTCCCAGCTGCAGCCAATGAAGGGGATCAGAGCCCTTTCCTCCCCCATAAACCATGCAACTCACATTGCTCCCTTATCCATTCCTCCCTGTGTGCCCTAGGATGAAGAGGGGATGGCCCTGGGTCTCCCTCTGAATGCCCAGCTGGACTGTGCCCTTCCCCAGTTTCCCCCACAGCCACCAGAGCCACACTCCCACTCCCTGTCAGCTGTTCCACCTCTCCCTTGGAATCAGATTCCAACAGGAACATGACAGTTGGCAATGGACTCACATTTATGACGGTTGCAATCTCCCGGGGTCATATGATCCCCTTTTGCATCCTTTTGACAAGCAAAATCAACGGGGAAGCCATTAACCATAACATGATGGTTAAGTGAACCACTTAACCATCATGTTATTAACTTAAGAACTACAGTGATTCACTTAACAACTGTGGCCAAGAAAGGTTGTATAATGGGGCAAAACTCACTTCACAACTCTCTCGCTTAACAGCAGAAATTTTGGGCTCAATTTTGGCCGAGGACTACCTGTAATTGCATGAAGCCAGATTGGAGAAGTCCACTTTGGGGATTCAAAACTTACCTGGCCTGCCATGAATTGCCCGAAACCAGGTGGGAAAGTCAGCGTTGCTATGAGGAAGGTGACAAGAGCAGGAAAAAGCAGGCGCCTGCCGAGACAGCAAGAAAACAACACAAGGTTACATGACAGCACCTCACAACTTTGCTTCCTGATTCTTTAACCACAAATCCTGGTGCCCTCTGGAGATGCTGAGTGTACACTTAAGAGTTGATGGAAGAAGGGGAAGTATAGGAAGAAAATTAGGTATATTCTACTATGTATTTTTACAGCATCAAGGATAGCATACACACAATGTTGGAAACAAAATAATATACCTTCGGAGGAATTAATAATTCGAAAAATCCTAGATTGTGCTGAAATGGATAAATTGACCTTAAAACTAAAAGACAAAGAGGAGTCAGATTATTATGAAATTTGGTATAATTGGTTGAGTAAGAAAAACAAAGATAAAAGGAAATAAGAAAGTTACAGACAAAAATATACAAATGTATATAAAGATATATAAATGTAGATATTTAAATGAGATTGGTTTGTATAATGATTTGTATAATAATGAGATTAGTTTGTATAACAATGTGTATAATAATGACGACATACTGTTAAAATTAAGATAAACATGTTTTAAAGTTGAAAAATAACAATAAAAATTATTGGGGAAAAAAAAGAGTTGATTGAGGGATGTCCTAGGCCAGAGTGGGTGGGCGAGTGGCCCTAGTGTCAGATTCTGGCATTAGCCTGGGCGTAGCCGACTCTGAGATACGTAATTCACTGTCACCCTTGATCCTGCTTCCCACACCCCACCCCTCTGGGTGTATCATCCAACAAAACACGTCCATAGCCAAGAGTCATCAATCATGCTCTCCAATTAGATTTTTGCAGGGCAGCAGCTTCAGTCATCTAATCAGTCTCTGAAGAAAATATGAATGGAATGTACTTTCAATTCCACACTGCTACCTGCTCTTTGAAATTCCCCCACTTCTTTCTGTTGACAACTACAAAACGTATATACAAAATGCTTTATGAGTTGACACCTGGAACCACATTGGCCCTCCCCCATGGGTTGTGGTTTATTGTCAGGCACAAAGAATCTGGACCACATTTCAAGTTGTAGCACAGAAGATTTATTTCCAGCCCATACAAAAGTCACCTAGTCTGTACAAAAGTCCAGTCAACTAATGGTCAGCACAAAATTGGTCCTAGATCAGGAGTTGGCCACCTGAGGCTCTGGAGCCGCATGTGGCTCTTTCATCCCTCTGCTTTGGCTCCTTGTTGCTGATTGGCATCACAATTTTGAGAGGAGCCTCTTTTGGGGGGAGGGGGGGTGAGCACAGCATTTCAGGAGAAGACTCTATGGCAAGGGGTTGGTTTTCCGGTCGGCTCCACAATTGATAGGGCTTTCGGTTAGGACAGGTAGAGGAAAAAGGACATTGCGCTAGGAGGAGACTCTATGGTGGGGGAACCGGACTTCTGGTCGGATCCAGAATTAAATGAGGGGCTTCCGGTTAGGACCTGTGTGGCTCGTTGAGTGTTGAAGGTTGCTGACCCCTGGCCTAGATAAAAGATCAGAGGAATTCAGAGGAGCTGGATTTACAATTGTTTGTGGCAACGTAAGGATTCTAAGCAGATGACACATTTAATTCTGCCCCCATCTCTGCTTGCTCTTCTCCTACATTTATGAAGGCATCTCTTAGTTTCTTGCCCTTTTTGGGAGGGGACCAGAACAAAACTCTAATTTTAACCCTAAAATAGGCATCGCATATTTTTAAATTTTTTAAATATTAATAAAAGCAAACCCTCACCCACATGTGGGAAGTGATGCCTCCTTTTGTGGGCATCTTCCCGATGTCAACTCAAAAAATATTTCTATGATCTTTTTAGAGTTGCCAACAGAAAGGGAGGGGGGAAAGGGGGTTTGAAAGAGCAGTAGGGCAGCTTGGAAATCGAAAATGCGTTCCATAAATACTTTTTTAAAGATAGTAACTAGGTGACTGAAGTTTCTGCTGTGCAAATATCTAACTGGAGAACATGATTGACGACTCTTGGCTATGGATGTGTCTCATTGGAGAATATGAATTATGGTACACCCAGAGGGTGGGGGGAAATCAGGGTCAAGGGTGACAATGAGTGATGTGTCTCAGAGTCGGTTACACCCAGGCAGTTCCGGACATGTTAACTCTCAATAAATCCTTCTGAAGTTTTTGGAAGTTTGGCTCGAGACTCATGATTTAATTGGGGTGACACCCTTGATGTTAAACCTGCTGGCCCCAAACCTGGCTCTTTGCATGCCTTACTTTTTCATCAGGAAGCGGTTGATGGTTTTTTGTTTACGCATGAATTGCACAATCTTGCGATTGAAGTAGACAAAGAGAGCTCCTCCGAAGCCACTGGCGATCCTAAATGAAGAAAAAAGAAGTTAGCAGGAGAGGAGAAGGCTGATTTGGGAGGAGGGGGGGGTCCACATCCAGAGGCAGGGGAGGCCCCACCAAAGCGAGCGAGGCTCACCCAATCACTGCAAAAGCCGGCAGCTCCTGCAGATCAAAGGGGAAGTCGAGCCGGAAGCGGGTTTTGAAAAGAGCCGTGATGGTTTCTGAGGGAAAGAGAACAGGCGGGAGTGAGACATGACAAGAGTGACAATTTAGATAGTTCAAATGTGTTTGAATATTAGTAGCTCGGGATGGTAGCTAGGCTGTTGGTTTGCACTCCGAGCTTGGCAATTTGCTTGCAAACATTTCGTCACCATTCGAGGAGACGTCGTCAGTGCACTTTGAGTTGTGCTGTGCTGTGCTGTGTTCTGACAGACGAGCACAACTCAAAACGTACTGACGACGTCTCCTCGAATGGTGACGAAAACTTTGCAAGCAAATTGCCAAGCCTGGAGCGCAAAACCAAGAGCCTCAAATAAAGGACGTACAGATCTCTCAGGCACTCCTCAGTTTACGACTGTATGGGTAGTCCCAACTTACAACCATTCCTTTATGATTGTTCAGAGTTACAAGAGAGCTGAAGAAAGTCACTTAGGAACATTTTTCACATTTACGACCGTTGTAGCATTCCCCAGGGTCACGTGACCAAAATTCAGATGCTCAGCAGCTGACTCATATTTACGACAGTTGCAGTGTCCAAGGGTCATGTGATAGCCTTTTGTGACTAAATCTACTAAAGACCTTGTTTCAGGAATTAAAAATCCTGCCTGGCTTCCTGCAACATGCTTTAACTAATTAAAATGAGGTTGAATTATCCGTAATTCAGTGTGTGATGGGCATCCAAGCTAGGTTAAGTTCTACAGGCCAGAAGTCTCCAAAACCTGGCCACGTTTAAAGACTAGTGAAGTTCAACTCCCAGAATTCTTCAGCTGACTGAGGAATTCTGGGAGTTGAAGGCCACAAGTTTTAAAGTTGCTAAGTCTGGAGACCCTGCTATAGACTGACGATGTTTGGGCAAGTCTGATGAATTTTAAGATTCATGGTAAGCTATCCTGACTTTAGCAAAATAGGCCAAATACAACACATTTGGAGGAAAAAAAATATGACCTATGATCTCTCCCACCTTACATCTGGGTCGTTGTTTCAGAATTCCACACCAAATGTACAAAGGCTCAGAAAATACCCGTGTTTCTCCAAAAAGAAAGCCTTGCTGTTTTTTCGGAGGCCAAAAGAAAATAATTCTTTTGATCTCTGAAAAAAAAAGAAACAGCTAGGTCTTCTTTTTGGAGGGTTCTAATTATTCAGTCTGAAGACGAAATGGAGGCCGGGGCAATGCGTGCAAGTGGCAGCAAGTAGCTGCAGAAGAAGGCGGGGCAGGTGTCAGGGTGTGCAAGGCCTGGTAAGTAGGGCAGCTCCACCCCCCACATCCCCACCCTAACTTATTTTTTTACCTGTGTGCCTCGCCCCACCCTCTGAGCCCCAGGGTGGGCAGGGTCTTAATTAGGGCTAATTTTGTGGGTGGGGCTTAATTTAATTGCATGCACTCAAAAACATGGTAAGGCTTCTTTTCAAAGTGGGTCGTTTGGAGAAACACAGTATCTACAGACCCCTCACATTCTGGACCTAAACTCTTTCAATACCTCCCCTCACGACACCATTATAGGGCACTGCATGCCAAAACGAGTAGACACAAGGACATTTTCCCCCATGATATCACTCTGCCAAATACCTAAATTCCCACAGCGCTGTTTTATTCCTAAGGCTATTTACCCATGTAGTAAGGCTGCGTTGCCATTATTATCCTTTTCATCTTTCCAATGACCTTCTCCTATCGGTTTCATCTTATCACTTATCACTTGGTGGTTTCTATCTTATGATTTACGATTCTTATGACTTACAATTTATCGCTTCGTTGTTTCTATCTTATGATTTATGATTCTATCTTATGACTTACGATTTATCACTTTGTTGTTTGTATGTGCACTGAGAGACACATTCCTTGTGTGTCCAATCACACATGGCCCGTAAAGAAGACTCTATTTAATGGTTTGGCAATATCCAGGGGTGGGCTTCAAAATTTTTAGCAAGGGGTTGTCTGCCCGGTTGCTGGGTGGGCGTGGCCATGATGGGTGTGGCCTACTCGGCTCCTGCACCATGGGGACGGGGGCATTTTTGCCCTTCCCGGGCTTCGAAGGCTCTCTGGAAGCTGGAAACGGGCCCATTTCCGTCCTTCCCAAACTTCTGGGAGGCCCGTTTTTCACCTTCCCTGATCCTCCACATGCGCTCTGCACTTACCTGCATCCAGGGGTGGGATTCAAATTTTTTAACAACCGGTTCTGTGGGTGTGGCTAAGTTGGTGGGTGTGGCTTGGCGGTCATGTTATTGGCTGGGCGTGGCCAACTCAATATCACTCACATTGAGGCACGCATCTCCTCGCCTGGCCTCTCGTGACTGTGGGGATGCTGCAACAGTCGTAAGTGTGAACAATGGTCATAAGTCACTTTTTTCAGTGCCACTGTAACTTTGAATGGTCACTCCACACAAGCAAAGTACCAGCAAAGGAGGGGGAAAAATCTCCAGAGAAGTTTCAGAGACAGGAAGTCTAGTCCTGCCAAGAATGTAATAAGGGTTAACAGAGAGGCAGTTTCTGTAAGCAACACCAGAATGTTTCCTTCCTGCCTTCCTTACAGGATTAGGCCAGTAATTTCTTCTAACAACTGGTTCTCCCAACTGCTTAGAATGTTAACAACTGGTTCTAGCGAATAGATGAGAACTGGTAGAATCCCACCCCTGCCTGCATCCAAAACGGGCTGCCTGGGGACCCCTGGGAGGGGAGGGGTGGGCGGGACCAGCCAGGAGTGGGATTTGGGGCTTCTCTGAACTGCCAAGAATCTTAGCTAGAGGCTCTCCCTGCGGACACCCAGCAGCCCACTCCTGGCAATATCCCCCAGGCCAGATTCTCATTACACCTGGATGCCACTTAATCCACTCCTGATGTCTTGCAGGAAGAAACCACAACGGTACCTTCATCTTTGTTCCATACCGCGAGGACCCGGAAGATGAACGCGCTGAAGGTGGCCGCGAAGAAACCACGCCAATAGTTGCGGACAGCGAAGAACGTGGAAGTGACTTCGATGCTGAAAAGGACACCTCATGGAGGAAGGAAGGAAGAAGAAGAAGACAAAAAGTGGGAAATTGCTGAAGTCATCTAAATTCGGCACCATTTATCCAGGTTGTCAACTCTGAAACTAGCTGAGGCCATTTTGGAATAGCTGGAAGGCGGTTTGTAGCCAGGGGTGGGCTTCAACAATTTTAGCAACGGGTTCTCTGCCTGGTTGCTGGGTGGGCACAGCCATAGTGGGCGTGGCCTAGTTGGCCTCTTGCACCACGGTGGTGGGTGGGCATTTTTGCCCTCCCTGGGCTCCAGAGGCTTTCCTTGAGCTTCTGGAGGGTGAAAATGGCCTCTCCGGGCTCCGGAGGCTCTCTGGAAGCTGGAAACCGGCCTATTTCCAGCCATCCCGAACTTCCGGGAGGCCCGTTTTTCGCCCTCCCTGAGTCTCTGTGTGTGCCCTGCACTTACCTGCATCCACAACAGGCCATGTGGGGACTCTTGGGAGGGAAGGGAGGGGCAGGTGGGGCCAGCCAGGAGTGTCAGCCTTCAAGATCTTCTACTATTGCTTTGCATCTTTTGGCTGCCATAAGTAACGGGGGGAGGAGGGGGTAAAGTCTGGGAAGCAAGCTGGAGCTGTTATATTCTACTGTTGTGTAAAATAAGGAGGGGGGAGTATAAATTCTTGCTTAGGTTTCTATTTCTCGCTTAGCTTTCTTTTCTCTGCGCAACTGCTAACTTTTATCAAAATATGCCAAGGTCAACAGACAGAGACCTCATCACCACCTGAAGATGTCCACATGATCATATTCACAACTTTTAATTGGAAGAATCATTTGAACTATTGGGGGTGGGAACATTTCCATCACTTTGTATATGTGATTTGCATGCCTAATTCCTCAGATTCAGAATTCTATGGTTGCTACCACTTCAATTTCAGTAAAAGATATCTTTTCTCTAATCTAAGGAGTATTTCTTTCTTGAATTTTGAATGGAGCTCCACCTGACATTTGGGGGGATTTGGGGGTTCTCCAAACTGCACAGAATCTTAGCTAGGGGCTCTCCTGAACCCCCAGCAGCTCACCCTTGCAATTGTAGCCAAAACAATAAACTTTTCCCCTGGAACCAAGGACATTCTCACAGGTGGCTGGCCAGGGGAGGAGTGAAGTAACCAAGCAACCAGCCAGCACCTTGATTGGACAGCGTGACCAGTGTCTTGGGGGAAAGGGGAAATTTTTACTTATTCGCTGAAAGCCGCGGGAATTTTCAGAGTTGGCTTTCACCAGTTTGTGCCACTACGATGTACCCAATAAATTGTTCTTTGAGGAATCTTCCTGCCTCAGAGTCCTGCTTTCTATGAGTGCAGGGGTTCACGCCAACACAGGTCTTGTATTCTGTGGGTCAGACATTAACCCTGTGGTAAATTGGGTGGCCAATAAATTTTACAAAAAAAGAAACTAACAAACAAACATTGACTCTCCCACAGGTGTTCTTCCTCACTTTTCAAGTTTATCTTTCCTCAGTTTTCAAGAATGCAGCCTCCATTCCAATACACGAGGTCCTCGACTTAAGACCCCCAATTGAGTTCCACATTTCCGTTGCTAAGTGAGCTTTGCTGCATTTTATGACTTTCCTTGCCAGGGTCGTTAAGTGAACCACTGCAGGTGTTACGTTAGTAAGACGGCCGTTAAGTGAATCTGACCTCCCCATTGGCTTTACTTGTCAGAAGGCCACAAAAGGGGATCATATGGCCCAGGGACGCTGCAACCGTCATAAATATGAATCGGTTGTCAAGTCAAACATCTGAAAGTCAATCACGTGACCATGGGGAGGTTGCAACGGTCGTCAGTGTGGAAAAACGGTCATAAGTCGCATTTTTAGTGCTGTTGTAACTCTGGAACGGTCACTAAATGAGTGGCTGTAACGTTGAGGGCTACCTGTATCACCTTGAAAAGAACACCGTTAGCCAGAACGGACAGGACCAGAGGTGCCAGCCACACATCTCAATCATTACAAGATTGAGGGTTGGATTGGATGACCTTAGTGGTCTCAGTTCTGAGACTGGGGAGGAATTGGAAGTGAAGAAGCTTATTGGATGAGAAGCAAAACATTTTAAAGAAAAGTCAAGGAAGCCCAGTTGCTGTTTGGAGAAAAGCGCTTCTGGGATGCCTTAGATTAATTTAATGGCCCTGAAAAGTATCTGTTTATTGCAGGAAATTGATGAATAGCCCTCTGTGGCTACATCTTCCCTCTTCAAGAAGGAATGACGCACAAAGGCACAACAGACGACAACAAAAAGATTAGAATGAGCCAGCACTAAAAATCCAGAGACTTGAACTTTAAAGCAGGGTCTCCAACCTTGGCAACTTTAAGACCAGTGGACTTCAACTCCCAGAATTCCTCAGCCAGCGAAGCAACTTTAAG